CACGGAGTCGCCCCGGTTTGAAAACTTTCCACCGGTGGCCTCGAGTTGCACACCTTTTGTTCAGACGAAAGAACGAGTGCAGCTCACTCCCCAGCTCACCTCGTAGAATACGCCGAGTGAATATCATATCACCGCGGCGACGACGATAATCCAGAGGAACAGGTTCAACCGTTGAAGCCGTAGGAGGTAAGATAAGTCCCGCAACTCTGGAACGGATTTGGATCCACGCCGTTGAACCTTCTCGATCATGTCACGTTCGGACTTTGTGAGAGGATACGCAGCAGGCAATCCGTACTCGAGAACTGGGCGCACATGCGAAGCAAACAGTAGTCTGAAGAGTGCTGGGGTCAGGCGTGAAAAGGCTCTCCGTATAGCGTGAAGTATTCTGTAGGCGGATGCGACCCTCTTCCGGGTGTCCTCGATTGATTTGAGATCAGGACACAATCACCCCGAGATCCCTCTCTTGGTTGACATTTCTGAGCAAGAAACCCCCGATATGGTAAGCCCCAAAAGGCTCAGGAGCACCGATTGGAAGGACAGCGCATTTGTCACGGTTAATGGGCAACTGCCACTTTAGTGACCAATCGTGGAGCAGATCGAGTGTCGCTTGAAGTCTGTCTGCATCTTCCAGACTGGATACCTCAATCCACAGCTTCAGATCATCCGCGTAGATTAAGCAGTCGGTCTGCAGTTCGGATGGCAGGTCGTTGATAAAGATATTGAAGAGTTCGGGGCCGAGTACAGAACCCTGGGGGACCCCACTGGTCATGAGAACTTGATCAGAAAGCGCTTCGTTAACTTTAACCTGCATGAAGCGACCGTCCAGGAAATCGGAGACCCAAGAAAGAAAATTGCCAGTGACGCCGATTCCCCGGAGTTTGAAGAGGAGCCGCTCATGCGGGACCTTGTCAAAAGCCTTACTGAAATCAACAAACACAGCATCCAGACGCTTACCGGCATCTAAGGATCTTGCCCATTTTCCCTAGCCACCAGCAAATTTGTGGCGCATGAACGCGCCCTTCGGAAACCATGTTGGGCATGAGAGAGGAACTCCAACTCATCGAGATGAAGGCGAAGGGCCCGTTTCAGAATCCGTTCCATGACTTTGCACAAAATCGAAGTCAGACAGATGGGACGATAGCTGGCTGGATTCTGTCGGTTCCCTCCTTTGTAAATAGGTTTAACGATTCCCACCTTCCAAGCAGTTGGAAGCCGCCCGACCTCAAAGGAACGACGGAAGATTTGACAGACAGGAGCGGCAATGTGCCCAGCCACGGTCTTAAGGAACAATGGGTGTAAACCATCAGGACCAGGCGAGGAATACGGGTCTAGGTCAAGAAGAAGTTTCATTACAACGTCAGTGTTAACATTCACGTGCTCCAACAGGGAAGGAGGAGTGGGTGCAACGCTATCTGGGAGTGGCGTTTCGGTCGAGTAGACAGAGGAATATTGCTGGGCCAAAAGGCTAGCTTTCTCAACGTCTTCGTAAACTAGGTCCAAATGCTCACAGGGAGACAAGGCAGGGACACCACTGCCAGCTTTGGTGCTTCGTTTGAGGTATGAGAAGAGCGCCTTGGAGTTTGTACTAGAAAGTGCAGCTAATGACAGCTCGTATTTTTGGCGTTTCTCGCGTTTTTTCATGTTGCAAGCATTCCTGACCGTTTTGTAGTAGCAGTAGTCAAGCTCAAATCGCGTAATTCTGAAACGATCCCATAGTTTACGCCTTCTTTTCATCATTGATCTCAATTCGTGATCGATCCATGGAGGGCCTTTGGAGAAGGGTCTTCTTTTGGAGAAGGGGATGACCTGTTCAATGAGTAACGTCAGCTTGGAGTACAAGTGATTCCACGCTTCGTCAACATTGAGGTGTTCAGGGATACTCCAATCGACAACGCTTGCGGCCGTTTTCAGACGAAGTGTATCGGCACGCCAGAAATTCCGACGGTCGGCACGTTGGCTGTGAACAGCGAAGCGACGTGTCCACTGGAATGAGACAGTACAGTGATCACTGCTGCCAATGGGCTGTAGAACTGAAAGGTTCGTGATGTCTGACTGTGCTGGGGAGAGCACGAGATCCAGGATATGCGGCGTCTGATCTGGAGGAATACGAGTTGGTGTAGTGACATGTTGGAGCAAATTACAATGAAGAAGTAAGTTGGTCTCGAAGAACTCTGTAAGTCGGTCACAAAGAAGCAGGTTCCAGTCAACAGAAGGAGCATTGAAATCCCCAACGATAAGACAATCCTTTCGTGCACCATGCCTCCTGATCGAGTCCATCAAGCGGGCTCCGGATCCTGAAGGCGCTCTGTAGACGACACCAAATGTGAGAGAACTCCGTCCATCATGAACACGACACCAGAGGGCATCAAACTCATCGTCGTTGTCACTGATCGCTTCAACTACGTGTACTTTGATATCAGTCTTCCAATAGACCATTACGCCACCGCCGGACCTCCCTCCTTGTCGATCGGATCGGGAGAGGTGGTAACCGGGGATAGACACCTCTGAATCCGTGATGTCTGTGAATAGCCAGGTTTCAGTGAAGGCCATCAGGTCTGGACGGGTCTCTAAGGCAATCAACTGAATCTCATCCAATTTATTCCTTAGACTGCGCACATTGGCGGTTAACACGCGTAGTCCATTTGTGTGCTTTATTGTCCCGGGATGAGGAGAATGGGTCTCCAACGGGCTCTCAGGGTCTTCCGAACCACGCAAAAATCCACGATATGGAGGTCAGTTTCACCATTTCCTCGGCGTGTTCGTAGCTCCTCAACAGCCTTTTCATTTTTATCCGATCCTCTGGAGAAAGATCACGTAGTACGTAATACGGCTCACCTTTGAGACGCGAGGTCCGTCGCAGAATACGTCGGCATTCCTCTTCCGTTTGGCACACGACTTTGAGGGGGCGAACTTTGGGTGGATCCTCTTGCTTCCTGCCGAGCCGGAATGCAGAGACGATGTTAATTCCCTGTTCGCCTTCATCAAATAACAAAGAGACCAACCGCTCGAGAAGTATTTGGTCATCCAAAATTCTTTCCGCTGGGGTGGCTTTGTTCGATTCGACTGCGTTCATAATGATGAGGCAACGGTCCCGAGAAGGTGGAGTGCGCTCAGGGATTTGCGGTCTGCGAGAGGACGGATTATCTTTGATCACTTTCTCTAGCTCAGAAAGTCTATTGAGAACTAGCTTCATTTGCGACTGAGATGCTGAGAGCTTAGAATTGGGTTTATCCCCGGATTTGGGATTAAACTTAGCGGCATTGGTGGCTGGGCTTTGACTGATTAAGGTTGAGGTCACATTTCCCTTCACTAGGGAAGAGTTATCCCAGGTGTTGGGTTTCGTCTTGGGCTTAGAGACCAGCTTCCTTGAGGCTATGCTTTCAGCTGGGCACAGGCTGGTTGTTGTTGGAGCGGTGGCGCTCGCCACGACAGCATAGGTCTTGGGCTTATTTTCCGGTCGACACATCATCTTACTGGAAGGTAATGACTCGGCCGACGTAGCGGAGAGAGTGCGGCTTCGGTTTGGTTTGGGTGTAGCAGACCCAGATGCAGGTAGGGAAATGGATGATGCGGGTACATTAACATTGGAACATTGTATTTAATGAGAATAAAAGCTCGAGCTTTACATGACCCATAGGGGAAAAAGAGTTGGGTCGGGTCTAATGAAAGGCCAAGCAACCTTATAGCGGGTTGGACTCGCGTGTTAGCCGTAGCTTCATCGGGCTTATGCGGCATTTAAACAGAATGCACGCCGGCTCAAAGCGTGACATCCCAACAAGCCCGCCGAAACGGCTTTGGAAAGAAATTAGGTAGAAGAAAAAAAGAAAGAAATTCCATCCAGTAGAAGGTAGTTATATTAGGGAATATCGCGGTGTAGCTCGGCCAGATGACAGTCCAAGCGGGTCTTAAAGTCCACCATAGTGGGTGCCAAGACTACATCGGCAGGCAGAGCATTCCACGGTCGACAGATTCGCAAAGCGAAGTAATGTCGTCTGCAGTTCAGCCGACTGTGCTGATGTGTGAGCCTCAGTGGGTGGCCACGTAGGTGGGAGCCCGATTGGTGTATTGTGAGTAGGTGGCGACAGGGATGTCCAGGGTTGGATAAGATCATGAATACAAGGATCAGGTCGCGCCGTAGACGTCGGTACTTAAGCGAGTAGAGGCCCAGGCAATGAAGTCGTTGTGGATAATCTAGGTGCTTGAGACCTAGGACCAGTTTGGTTGCTCGATGTTGTGGGGCTTCGAGTATGCGTTGGTCTTACAAAAGCCAAGGACTCCAAGCCTGAATAGCGAACTCCAAGTGCGGTCGAAGAAAAGCATTGAGGAGGAGGCGGAAATTGCTGGGGTTAATTTGACCGAAGGCTCGTTTCAGCAGTCCCACCATGCGGTTAGCTTTACTTTACTTTACTTTACTGTCATGATAGCGAGAAAGATGTTGAACATCTATGTAGCTATATCTCAATGTAGGACATGTCCCACTGACACAGTGTTACCTGTAGTAGTGAGCTAGCCCAGGTGAAAACTCTAAGAAAGTAAAATATTTACAAGCATAGAAAAAATCTCCATGTACTTACGATATATTCTTGGATGAACCACATGGAGTCCTTCACCAGCTCCGCCGCCTATTACGGATGGGCATCGTTTCGGAAGCTGCAGTTGGTGGATTAACGGGCTCCATGGGTTATAATCATTGAACGATTCCTTCGTCAGTTTCCTGTGAAGGCTTCGTCGAATCTGGCATCCGCAAAGTGCGCGTCCAGGAATCGTTTGAATTCCGACACCGAGTTCGCTTCTACTATCCGCAAGGGCAAACGGTTCCACATGTTCACCACTCGCCGCTCAAGACACAAGGGATGAGCTACCCACTTGAGGTCAGGGACTACCAGTTTGTACTGGTGACCTCGTGTGCTGCTTGACGCACGGACATGGAGCAGTGGCCTCAGCATCGGATAAGCACCCAGATGCAATACACGATGGGTCATGATGAGGTCCACTCGCACGCGGCGGTAGGCTAGAGTATACAGACCCAATTGTCTGCATCTTTCTTCATACGGCACACCCTGAAGACCGGGAATGAGCCGTGTGGCTATGTGTTGTACTCTTTCGAGCTTGTGTATCTCGCCTTTCGTCAACGGACAGTAGGCGGGTGAGCCGTATTCTAGCACCGGTCGTACAATGGATGTGAAGAGACGAGTGGCAATCTCTTTCGACCAGGTGCAGAAGCTACGTTTCAGCGCCCACAGCGAACGCAATGCTGTGCGATACATATTGTCCGTGTTGTCCAGTGACTTCATGTCGTAACGTTGTATAACGCCAAGGTCTCTGACGCAATGCGTCGGGTGTAGAACTTGGCCGTCGAGAGTGTACGATCGGCCCGCTCCACCTTTACCGAGGCACAGAAGTAGCGATTTTGCCGAGTTGATAGGCAAACTTACTTCGGCGGACCCCATGGAGAGGCGGTCGAGGTCCTGCTGAAGTATGTCAAAGTCGTCCGACGTATGGATCACCCTCCATAGCTTCAGGTCATCCGCGAACAAGGCACACGGCGACCGAAGGAGATTGGGCACGTCGTTGATGTGAATCAGGAAGAGAATGGGGCCAAGCACCGTCCCCTGAGGAACGCCGCTCGTCGACGGGTACCAGTCGGTCAGGTGGCTGTCGACTTGCACCCTCCACTTCCGTCCAACTAAGAAGTCACGGATCCATTGGTGCAGCGAGCCTCCGACTCCGCACTCCCTCAGTTTCTGAAGGAGGATCTCGTGATTCACTCTGTCGAAGGCCTTACTGAAATCGACGTATACCACGTCGACTGACTTACGTTGGTTTACTGCTTGCAACCCTTCATGCCATGTTAGCAGCAGGTTAGTGATGCACGAGTGGCCTCTCACGAAACCATGCTGTGCAGGCGTCAGGAGAGAGTTGGTCTCCAGTAGCTGGAGCAGTCTCTTCTTCACAATCTTCTCCAGAACTTTCGACAATACTGCGGTCAAACAAATAGGGCGGTAATTCTCCACTTTGCGTGTGTCACCGCCTTTTGGAATCGGTTTGACAACGGCGCATTTCCAGTCACAAGGCACGCAGCCTATGGACAGGGATCGGTTGAACAGGTCGGTTACAGCAGGTGAGATCACAGCTGACAAGGACTTGAGGATCAGCGGATGGAGACCATCCGGTCCAGCTGGCTTCGTGCTGTCTAGGCAGCTGACTAGCCCATGTACCTCCGCGACGTCGCAGATCAAGTCGGTTAGCTCAGTCGGTGCGGCGACGGCAGAGCTTGGCGCGCAGGTTTGGTTAGTTGCGAATACAGAAGCGAAGTGCGCCGCTAATGCGGACGCACGCTCGGTGCTTGAACTTAGTGGTTGTCCGTCCGAACCCACTAGCACCGGCACATCACCTGCAGACTTCAGGCGTCGCTTCACGTACGCAAATATGCGCTTCGGGGCAGTTTTAGCTGAGCAAGCAAGCTGCTCCTCAAACTGACGGCGTTTTCGCGTCTTTGTGCTGTTGCACAAGTTTCGTTGTCGCTTGTATACCTCATAGTCATCGGCAGAGCCAGACAGGAGGAACGCATTCCATAGTCGACGCCGTTGTCGAGACAGTCGGTTATACTCTTTGTCAAACCAATGGGGTTTCATTGGTCCAACTTTCCGAGTCTTGAGGGGTACAAATTGCGCACACAATGAGTGCACTGCCCCTTTAATGTTTGCCCAGCAAGTTTCAACGGATGAATCCTGTGGCATAGACCAATCAAGCTGATTGGCAGCTAGAATGAGGCCATCGAAGTCAGCTTTCCAATAGTTGTATGTTGGCGCCACTGGACGCACACATGGAAGCTGCAGGTCTATAGTGGCCATAATTGTCGAGTGATCACTGGCCGCCATGGGCTCAAGAACTTCTATGTCATGCACTGTTTGTTCGCAGCTGGTTAGCAGCAGGTCCAGGCATGATGGCATTGAGCGCGGGGTTATGCGGGTGGGTTGCGTGATGTGCTGCACCGTTCCGGTTTCCAGTACCAGTTCGGCGAATCTTGTCTCCACTTCATTATGGCCAGGGAGAAGCTGAACTTCAGGCCATAAGATTCGAGGAAGGTTAAAGTCGCCAGTGAGCAGGAACTGCGGGCGACTCATTTGGTTTTGGACGTGTGTGAGCCAATCCAATCCGTTACTCAGTGGGCTACGATATGCCACACCCACAAGCAGTTCGCCGCGTCGTAGGTGGATCGAACACCACAGCTGCTCACATAGACCGTCAATCCTTCGGTAGGTGCTCACGAGTCTCCCGCACAGGGTAGACCGGAGGTAAAGTAGGACGCCACCGCGGCTATTCGACTGTCGACCACAGCGGAAGCACGAATAGTCCGTGATCGCAATTTCTTCGCTTGTCACTTCAGATGTCAACCACGTCTCAGCCAAACCAACCACATCTGGCCGACGTGAAGCAATGAAGCGGACCAGATCATCGTGCTTGTTCATTAAGCTGCATACATTAATGAACGCTACACGCAATCCGCGGTAGGAACCGCTGGGCGAGCTTGAAGCGTCATTGCTCTGTTTACCCGGATTCGGGGTATCCGGGCAACTGTGCGAAAATTTACGATACGTAGGTTAGTTTCACCGGCGTCCGTGCGTCGTTTCAGTTCGATCACGGCAGACTTCAGCTGCTCTCGTTCTGCGGGATCAAGGTCTGGCCGGACATGAATTTTCATCCCCTTTAGGCGACCGAGGCGGGACAGTACTAACCTTGGGGCAGTTTCGTCGGTGAACGCGATGCGCAGAGGCCGACACTTGCCATCAACTTGTTTCCCCAGACGAGTGACTTGTTTCACTCGTAACCCGGGTTCGCCAACATCCAGTAGTTTGTCGGTTAGAGACTGCAAGAATTGCACATAATGGTCATAGCGTACCTGGGGACTGGGATCAGTCGACTCAGGTGCGTGGAAAATCATGACGTTGCATAGCCGTCCCCGTGGTGACTTGCTATCGCTTGGCTTCACCGGTTTCGGTAAGGCCGGTTTCTCGGCTAGCAATTTCTCAACTCGTGTTACCTTGTTTAGCATAGACTTTAGTTGTGACACTGTAGACGGTGATTTCGATTTGTTGTTGTTTACCGCCTTACAACTTTTCTTTTTAGGGGCCTGGACCCAGCCGGGTGGTTTTGCGGCGCCAGCGCTGGCCACGGCTGCGTAGGTCGCAGTTGCAGTGCCGACAGACGGCTTTTTTCGGTTGTCTTGTGAACTATGCATTGGTGTGTCCGCTGATGAAGTGGAGGAGGAGCGGCTTCGATTGCGCACAGTATGGATGCATGGAGGAGTCACCGGCGGTAGTACGGGCGTCACCAATGCGGCGTTATTATCTGTCTTTTTCGCCAAAGTCAGATTCGCCAGAAGGGACTTATCGTTAACAATAAGTCGGCATTTGTCACAGTGGAATGTTAGCGCGGAAGATGCCGTTCTTTTCAGGCATTCATAAAGATCGTGCTCAATGCCGCTGCACGTTGTGTGGGCCCATCCTTCGCACAGACCGCACTGCAGCGCTTTAGACCGAGAAGTGACATTTCTGCTGCAGCTCAGGCACTTAGATGCTGCTGCTGCTCTCGTTTTGTCGAGAGTAGCGTCCAAAGTGCTAGACGCACGGGAGGTCGCAGCTCGCTGGACCTTGCTCGTCATGCTTGATGTCTTGTGGATAGGTGTCGCTATCCAAATCACCTTGGATGTGTGAAGGAATTTGACAGACGTCAAATTCTATTACCGATGTGCGTTGAAACACCGGTATTCAAGCGTATTTCACTTGTAAGACAAACGTATAGCAAGAATGGGAACGAGCCACCGGACGTTGTTATCCGCAGCAGCAGCAGCAGCTGCCTTCCGGCAGGAGGCGGATACGGAAAGACTTATCTGGGTAATGATACCCAAGTCTCTTTCGGCCTAAGAGATCTGGAGAGTAGACGCTCCCAGGTAATATATAGGATAAAAAGCGGAAGGGCGAGTAGAAAGGACGCGACATTTCGAAGCGTTAAATGGAAGGTTGTTTTCTAGGGACCACTGATGTAGAAGGTCGAGGTCCGTCTGAAGTGCGTCAGCATCGTCCGGAAGGTAAATTGTGCGCCACAGTTTCGCATCATCCGCGTATAGCAGCAGTGAAGACTCCACTTGCGGTGTGACGTCTTCAATGAAGGCTAGGAAGAGGTGCGGTCCAAGAACAGAACCCTGTGGAACTCCACTTGTGGCAAGGATGCGGAAAGACAACGCTCCGTCGACGCGTACTTGGAAGGTACGGTTTTAAAGGTAGTTCCGGATCCAGTGCATCAAGGCCCCTGAAACGCCGTAAGAAAACTGTTTCTGCAGTAGAATCTTGTGGTCGACCTTGTCGAAGGCTTTGGTTAAATCCAAGAATATAACATGCATTTCTAGGCCAGAGTCGGCAACGGTCGTCCAGCTGTTCCTGGCAAGTAGCAGGTTACTAAGGCATGACCGTTGACACCGGAAACCGTGCTGACAATCAGAGAGCAGTTTCTGGGCCTGCATATTGTACATGGCTAGGGTGACAGGGCTGCATATACCGAAAGGAGGATGGTTAGCCAGAAGGCGTTTGTCATTCACTATTACTTGACATGAGTCACAATGGGAGTTCACGACCTCAGATGCCGTGCGCACTGCACTTCAACGCTCGTTGAAAACATTCATATACGGCGTCATCGATGTTACAGCACGAAGTGTGCAGCCACCGTTTGCACAGATCGCATTGCACACCCTTCGAGCGTGAGGTGACGCGTTTGCTACGATGTATGCACTTGGATGTCATAGTGGTTTGTCGTATTGATAATGAAATCTGAAAAATGAGCTAAACCTCGACGGGGTATCGTTATCCGCAGACCAACAGTATTCTGACTTTTCACAGAGTGTAGACATGAGGGACTTGGACTGATTGGAGGTAGGGCATTCGAACGCATTCGAAACGCGCCTGAGGCTCAGTGCAGCGCAATCTACATCACAAATAAATACGACGACTGAGGAAGTAATCCTTTGCAGTGAATGCTACAGATCTGGTCTGATGTTGCATCATGTAATGTGCAGCCACCCCGTCGAAGAAGGAACACTGAACAGCCTTTGACCAAAAGGTGACAGCTTTACAATAATCCATGCACTTATTAAGCCTTGTATACCTTATTCCGCAAATTCGTAATGGATTTTCAAGTCGATACGGAAACACAAGTGTGCGCGCTAGCCGCAGTCCGAGACTGAATTCATATAGGTTCATAGATTCATAGGATTGTAGAGAGCAGAAGGAGAAATCCTTTGTCAGCTCCATCGTTTCCCGATCATTGTGTGGAGGCCGTGTTCC